TGTGAACTGCATGTTTTTTCTATGATCTAATACAGCGATGACCCACTGCTGATGCTTACTACTTTTTCCACGATATTTCTTAAGACCAATATTTCCGCTTCCAGAAACAATGATGACTTCCGGTTTACTTTCTCAGAAACCGCCACAGACGTCACACATAAATGTGTCTTTACATGCAAAATATCGGTAACAACACGGTCATATCTTCTTTTGCCCGTGACGTTAGCATCATGTATATCTAAAGAAAAAATAATTCATTTTTGGAGGGGTTTGATTCTGATCCTGTCTTCTACAAATTAGTGAGAAGCGAAATTTCGACAGAAGGCGGATTCAAAGGGCTTTAAAATAGTAGACAGACAATTGATCTCTCCGCAGTTGAATGCTCCAACACCAGCAGGACCACCAAACTATTTACGAATTGAGACAACGATTGATTGCCATAAAAGGCAATTAGCTTTCGAAGCGGAAAAAAGGAAATAAATCCTACTCTCACATGACCTTGAATTTTGACAAGCACAAACACGTAGCGGTCGTCGCTTCTCGCCACCTAGTAGCCTTATCGCAGGTGACTCTCAACCCCGCACTCAGACAGTGTCTGAGGGACGCTTCACAATATAATACACATTGACATACTACATATTCCGTTGATTTCCGTTCTTAAAATTGACTAAATTGCAATTTTTATACGCTTTAGTGTTAGTCTCAATTTGTCGTAAGCCAAGTATCTTAAGTATTCCGATAGCCTTCTTTGTTGTCTTCTTGACTTCTTAACCTTAGTTTTCTATTACGTTATTACCTTGTAAACTTAATGTTTTTCATAATAGGACATGATTGGCCCAAATAGCCTAAGTACCTATGGGTATGCCAAGTCTGTTCAACTATTCTTATAAAACGTGTAAAATGTATGTGTGCATATCGGTGTGTGTGTTGAGACTGAGAGAAGCGACGACAGGAAATACGTCCGCTTTCGAAAGCTAATTGAAAAGCGGCAAATATTTCGGTGCATTTAATGTGTCGGCGAAATTTCGCGAGCGAGGTCATAATCTGAAACGAAAATTTATTTTTGGTGAGAAATTTCGCGCCAGCGGGACGATGGTTCAACGCCTTTTTTCCAAAACGATATTTCGTCCTCAAGAACGAAATTTGTTCACTCAAATCTTCCTAGCTGAAAAGAAGAATAACTATATATGGCTACCCCCAAAAGGTAAAAGTAAGCTTGACCAATATCATTGGGCTGCCTCTCCGACCGAAAAAAAAACATGGTACGACCCAGAAGGCGTTACGTGTCCCATCCCCCGCCTCCCCTTTCCCCTGCGATGTAGACGATCATTTGACTTTTGAGGGGAAGGGGCTAGTTGTTTCAGATATAAAACAACAGGTTTGGAACGAAAACAAAATTCTGGCGTTAACTTACGAGTCTTTAAAGTCCTTTATCTTTCGTAGGCGTAGATTCATTGGCCACCAAAAAGAAAAAAACAAACAAATTAAAAACTGCTATGTGATTATATTAAAAAACTAACTTAAGCTTCAGCTTTAGCAGGCGTTTTTGCCCTTGAAGGCCTTTGAAGGGGACAAACACAAACAATTTGGGTAAAAAAACACATGCATTTAAGGCAGGAGTGAACCGATCTACTAGTGCCAATTTTTAGCAGTTTTCCAGTTATAATCATCCCTTGATAAGTGTTCATATTTTCATGTCACGTACTCGAATAAAAGCTTACCTGATCATTAATTTGATCATATCCGTCCTCTTGATCTTACATCCAAGATTAATTTGGAAAATGCAAGCAAAGCGGCACAAACTAACACACAGCTCGGCGGTCCGAACAGACTGTAGTCCTCTCCACTAGTGGGAAGGAGCGTTGCGTGACGACACTAAAAACGGCTGTGTAGCAGACTAAACAGACTGTGAAACAAGTCATCCGCAGTCGGCAGTTTAGAAGTCTGGATTTCTTGTTCACGTTTGTACCGACGTGAAATCAGCTTTTCTTTTTTTCTAAACAAATACACTGACGAATAACATATATTTCAAAGCCTTGATTTGTATTGCGGGATAAAATTTTAGCACAGCCGTCCAACTTTAGGGACAAATTAAATTATCACGTTAAGCGCGAGAAACAACTAAATGTTTATCTTGTAAACAGCCTTGCAAATAAACGAAAACAAAATTTAATTTTCAGGACTATAATGTAACTTAGACGATCATACAGCTTCAGATGACAGCATATCTCTATTCCTATTCCACTGGTATCGGACTGGTATACACTCACGCCGGAAAAGAACCAGTTATCACGATACTTGTCACGATACCTGTCAAAAGTATTAAACCGATGTAACGCACAGCCAGCAGCTCAAAGTACTCCCTTTATGGGAGTAAAAAGTGATTTTTAATTTTACCTTTCACTTATACAGTAAAAACCACTGAGTAAGAACCTAAGATTTAAGAACCTCTTTAGCCTAAAATTTGGAGAAAGGTTCTTATTTTCAAAAATCATTTGTAATTGCAAAAGGCAAGTTAGTACATATATAAATGTTGTTTGATTGAGGTCATTGAGAAAATGTTTATAATATTGTATTTTACAGCACAATCTTGTATATAAAGTTGTTTTGACTCAAGAAATTAAAATTCATGTGAGAATATATCTCTATTATGGTCATACTAAAATATAAGCAACATTAAGTGTGCAAATTTATCATTGAAACATGTTGGCCCAAACTTCACATTGAAACCGAGTTCGAAAGCCAGCTCACTGCAATTCGGTAAAACAAAAATATAAACAATGCAAATCTTGGTGGCAAGAAAAAAAGAAATAAGCGATGGATATATGGCCTACTTGTTAACGCAAGAGACGTGTGCCATTGAACAAAACAGTTCAAATCGAGATGAAAAATAGGAAGACAGGAAAGAACCGGTGACTGAGGTTTCGATGAAGTTATGTTTGGTGTTTATTTGCCAGGACGTTATTCTCTGGTCTTTATCGATGAAGGACATCAATGAGAACTATCTTTTTGGTATAAATGCAGGAGCGATCGAGTGGAGTACGCTCAAAATTTCAACTTGTTACTCGGCAGACTCGGTAAGCCGGCCACATTTCATTTCAGCGAGTAATTTTCCTATTTCTTATCTTTGGCTGTTAAGAGTTTTAACTTCATGTTCCATAATATTTTAAAAGTGAAGAATACATAAATAAATAAAATGATGGTCTTCTTAAACGGATCCAGACTCGCATTTAATGATTCGAAACAGAAGCTTGCCGTGTTCAGTCCTGACACAAACATTGCCTTAAAAGTTTAACCTAGTAAAATGTGAGCTTTATACCACTTTTTTACCAAGAGCTCTCCGAGATAATGCCGTAAAGGAGACCAGGCAAATAGCAAGCCATAAGATTCACACACTAGAGCTTCTAGTTTTGATAAAATTATTTTATTTCGCAATGACAAAGAAATCAAAAGATTTTAAATTTGCACTGAATTTGCTAAGCTCTGCCAACGTACCTCTAACAATTCACTCCAAAGCGACGGAATTAATATCATCCAAAGGAAGTTGTAAATACAGACATACATAGATATGTGTAAAATGACACTGACATGAATGAATGAGTCTCGTGAATGAATCTTTCACCCGCTCTCGACTTGACCTGTTTTGAGTAATGGCGGAGGTCTCTTCCGTTGACAAGTAGGCCATATATCCGTCGCTTATTTCTTTTTTTCTTGCCACCAATATCTGTTTTTACTTCTGTTTTACAGAATTGCAGTGAGCTGGCTTTCGTATTCGGTTTCAGCGTGAAGTTTGGGCCAACATGTTTGCCGCTTTTCTCCAGCCATCACCCACTTGTCGAGCTTCTGAGGCTTCGGCAACCTACAAAATCATCCTGTTTCCTTGAAGATATACGCGTCCCTTTTGATTGCAAACAGCAAATCAATACTAAACATTAAAAGCAGAAGACGTCCCACGTCATTGTATTTAAAACGACGTCCATACAAAGTTATTTTAGGTGGAATCCGTGCTAAACACTCTGCAAGTTCACTGAAAGTCTTCATTTGACATTTTTTTTTTACCCTCCAACGCCTCGCTTTCATGACTAGGCACCAGTTTTTTCCCGCGTGTCCGCCATTTGTGAATACGGTGTATACGGTAGAGAAAAAGATTTACAAATATACATCCGAGTTTAAGAAATCTTGATTACCTTTGATTAAAATTCTACTTAATATTTCTTTTAAAAATGAATTCGTTTCTTAATTAATATCGTTATCTACTGATGTTCATGCCCGGAAAATAAATGAGCATTCAACATCGAGAAGAGGGACGAAGAGGCTAGATATACTAACTCCCACTACTTTAAACAAGGGCGACGGTTTGATTCTTTTGTTGTTGTTGCATTTTTGCTAAAGGCACAAACGATTTCTACGAAATTGGTGATTTCAAACGCATCCATCACTCTCATAGGTAGATGAAATGACTGTAAAAAAAGTTACTGGTGAAACCGCCAGCCTCTGATTTGCATAAAAGAGGCAGACGATAAAAACGCTACTTTATTTGTTAAAGGTCGAGCTATTTAAGGCAATTTCGCAACGTACCAAATTTGTGATGACAGGTTTGACTGAGTAAGAAAACAAGTTATTCAAGGCATAAAGAAATACAAGAGAATTACAATCAGGCAAAACAAATTAAAATTATCACGGAGCCGGTTTATCAGAGTTCTAGCCTGAATTTCAGACATCTCTTTGAGTAGCATACTCCTCTTAGGTATGACGTCCCTGAGATAGCCTGCGTAACTGGTGGGATTAGCGGGCGAGTGCTGTAGTTTTGGCGAAGGAGCTGAGTGAAGATTGAACCACTTGCTTCATGCACGAAAGCGTCCCTGGCACAACAACCCCGCCGGCTCCGTCTCCACAACTACAGCACTCGCCCGCTAATACCGCAAGCTAGGCAAGCTATCTTTGAGAAGAGTATGCGACTCCGAGGGATGTCTGAAATCCAGGGCACTATTTATCCTCATTTAGTGTTACCTTTGAACTATGGTTCTTTTTCTCAACGGTATAATGGTCTGGGACTTCAAAAGAAAACACTCACAATTTACAGCTGTTGCAAAATTTTGCTGCCCGTATTTCAACGAGTACTAAAAAAAAATTCATCATATATTTCACCTATACTGAATGAACTCGGTTGGTTCAGCATTTATGAACTTCGGAACTGGTGTGACCCATCTATTATTCACAAATGCATAAACAGTCTACTCCAACCTATAAGCTATTCTTTTCAAACGTTCTGACACTGATGATCATTCAAATAACACAAGAAACAAAGACCATCTCAGTTTACGTGGCTTCTATGATAGAGCACTTAAAACTTGGAATAATCCCTCTGTTGCTACAATGAGAATGTGCTCGCAAACAATATATAAATTTTATTAGTGTTGGCTTATTGATATATTTACGGAGGAGATTTTAATGTCAATAAGTTATTTGTAATGTGTCTTTTAATAAGAATGTGTAATAGATAGATTTTATCTTCTATTTTTCTACTCGATGTAAATTAATTTTGAAAAGTCCCTTTGGGAAAATTAATGAATTGTATTGTAATTGTATTGTATTGCTTGGGTATCACCTTATTATTTAAGAAAATGAATTTCTTGCAACAATCTGTGCTTAATGTTAATGAAAACAGGTAAGATAACTAAAAATACGTGTTTAAGAAAAGGAGTAAGCTGCGACAGGAAACGATATAACTATACCGATTATTCAAGAGCTGGTTAGTACTGACAACTTTTCTTCAATCCCTCAAGGCCAGTTATCTCCGTCCACGAGACACTGCCTGTCTTGATAATGTTTAATAAGAATCGAGGTGTAAAGTGTTTGGAGATCGTTTAAGAATAAAGGACTTTCTTTCTTTTTCTCTCTCTTTGAAAGATAATGAGATTTTACGACCGGTGTAATGAATATGTATCAAAACAATTAATCGCAGAAACGATCGATTTCATGTCCAAAATACCAAATAGCGTTTGCCTTAAAATGATACATTTTATGGCCAGTTATCACCAAGAAATGGTCGACGACTCTACGCAGAAGCATGGTGGCTGTACATTATATTTGTAGCACGTCTCAGTCTTTAATTGCTACTCTTACAGGTTAAATAATCTGGGACTTAACTATATTTAGGAGCACCCAACGACGCTTTTCCCCTTTAGTTAATACATTGAAAAACATTTTAAGGCTATCAAGAGTAATTTCCTTTTTTCTACGAAAAAAAGCCTAACGTGGGGAGTTTATGTGAAAAATTAAATTTTGGAAAACCGTATACATTAGGAATTTATATGATAAACATCGAAAATTGTACATGAAGGGAATGGTCTCCTAGAACTTTTTAGCCGTCCTCAAGTGGCAGAAAATTCTAGGCGACATTTGCTTCTCCGAACAGTATTTTACAGAAAACAGTCGTTGGGTGCCACTGTATATATATATTTTCTTACCGATGATACACAGGCCTCGTTTTGCTCTCGTCAAAGCAACGTTGATCTGGTGTTCGTCAGTCACAAATCCTAGTTTTTCTCTTAGCCACCCGCGGTTTGGTTCATGATCGATTTGAGATTCTGGCAAAGACCGAACCAGTGATATGATTACAAAGTCGTTTTCACTGCCTAGAAAGAAATATTCATTTGAAGAATTAATACTAGTATTGGTGACCTCCTAAATCCAAGTCAAGTTAAAAATATCTTTCCATCTTCACAAACTGGCTTTCTTGATCGCTTTCCCTGTCCATACGAAAATAAAGGAGAGGAGCAATATTCAAGTTTCTGAAGTTGAAAGGTTGCTTTTGTCAACCAAAGCCGCTACCACAATACAAGGGAATCTTGTTTTTTTCTGCCCCGTCCGCTCCCTATATATTCAGCCTGTGGTATATCAGTTATACTAAGCATACGGTTAAGAGCCAAGAAGCAGCGAAAACCGAAACCGAAGCACGAGTTGCAAGTCTGCAGTGAACAATGGCTAATGGTAGCAACACACTTGCAGGTTTACAGTTAATCGATTATCATTAATTATTAGCCTTCTCAATTTTAACAAAATAAATTAAAAATTTCGCCCATTTAACTAACCTGATAGGGCCGCCCATGAAACAGAATTGAAGACACTGTACTTTCAACTTTTTTTTTTTTTATTTTTTTTTATAGCCCATCAAAACATACCTTGGCTCTTTACAATCGAAGTTACTGACACTTCAGCTATACCATTGGCAGCGAGGTCTTCTTCAATGATATGACATTGAGCGCGGTAAGGACTCAAAACGGAAATTTGATTTTCCGTCACCATATCTTTTCCACAAGCCAGTAGTTTTTTAAGCACCTCCACCTTAAAAGAACAACAAAATATAAAACAAAAACAACAACTAAGATGTAAGATGGTTGCTGTGTTATCTTGTACTGTCCCACCGCGTTGAAATCATTTCCGTTTATAAACTCGTGTTCAATTTTATATAAAAGAAAAGTGAATTTCGTTGTATAACCAGTTTATTGTGGCCCGAACCTATTTATATGCGTGTTGGCTATGTTTTTGAATCTCGCTTTTCGACAGGAAAAATTTAACTGATTTCTATGCTTTTTGGCATGTTAAGTAAAGAATGGTGGAACTTTAAGAAAATATCATTTATATTCTTGTAGATATAAAAACGTTTGAGATGTCGGCATATATTTAAAACTTCCTTTTTACAAAAAAAAAAATGTAGCAAACTTCGAAACCCTAAGGCAAATTTTTCTCTAACTTCCGAAAATAAGCCCCAAAGCTCTCTCGTTTTATATCTGCAAGTTTGAAGTCAATCATGATAATACAACTTTCTGTACCAAATGCTGCTCAAATTTAACCTTAAAATGCCACGCTAACAAATTTATGCAAGTTGACGCACAAATAGAGGAACAGTGCTGTTCCTCAATTTGTGACCTGCATATTTTGCAGCAGGATGTTCGGTCACGATTGACTTATCAAGATTACAGATCCACAATTTGTAGATGATTCTTTAACTATGAAGTTATATCTTACCAGCCATAATTGGCAAGAGTTTCTTACATCCGAGTTCTTAAATTTTTAATTTTTTCTTTTACAGATAGCTCCTCTTAACTTACCACTTTGTCTTTCTCCTTGGCGTTGCTCTTGGATTTTTCATGCCCTTCCTCTGTTGTCACCACCAGCTCTTCCTCGTCGCCAACAACATTGCAAAATACCAAAGGTGTATAACCTGTTTTACTGTGACTTGGCCAAAACTCACGAAAGTCCCTGCTCACTCTTGCTGCTTTTTCCCGCTTGTTAACTGAATCTGCGGTTTTTAATTCGCTGCTGTAAAAATGCTTTGAAGGAAACTCACAGATGTCCTTGTGCTAAAAGGAATAGGGGAGACTTAGACTAGACTAGTTAGTAGCAAACAAATGGTCTTGTCCCTGTTGTGACATGTTGCGTGACATGTTATTACGTCACTGATTCCCCGTATGCACATGTGGCGTCATTGTAAAAACCATGTGCTAGTGAAGGAAGTTGTGGTTCGTAGTTCTGTTTCTTGTCTTCGGCTGTCTATCTAATTTATGAGGATAGCATACATGGTGGCAGCTTTGGTAGAACGCTCAGTGTTAACTGTTTGACCGATGAGTGACGACGAAAGCTCACCTGGAGCCGCTGTGGCCGCTTCGAATTTGCCGTCTGCTTCGACAACAACTTCGATGAATCGACCACCACTTCCACAGATAAAACCACCTCGATCCTCCACTCAACTTGGCGGACTGTTCGGCGAAAAAGTAGAAACTAAGGAAACAAACCTGGCTCAACTACGCTGTTGTGTCGAACATTTCCACTCAAGATGCTTAATACCAGAAAGCTCTTTTTCTCTGCACTACAGGTCAAGGTGCTTTAGAAATTTATAACGCGTTTCAATACAGCATGAGTGAGGATCCAGATAGGGTGGAAACTTTAGTCTCCAAATCCGAAGAATTGTTAACGGGGGTGGTAAATGAAACATATAAAAACTTTAATTTTAACGAGAGGAATAAAGAAGGTGGTGAAAGCTTTGACGCTTATCTCATCGCCCTGAGTAACATGGCCGAAACTTGTAACTTCTGCAGTTGCCCAGCAATGACTGACTCGCTACTTCGGGACCGTATCGTTCTCGGGATCCAGAATGAAATCCCTGGAAATGGTTACTTCAGAAAAGACAGCTCAACCTGAAGAGATGCACTGATATTTGCCGAACCTCGGAGAGCGCGACAACTCAACTTCAGGCGTTTGGTTGAAAAAATGAAGTAGTTCACCTGGTCGATAGAAGAGCCGGGGGCTTGGTGCCGCTCTTAGGGGGCGACCACACACATATACCAGCCGGGCACTAACAGATCCTGAGACCCGTTATGCAACCATAGAAAAAGAAACGCTGGCTGTAGTTTTGCATTGAATAAATGGCATCACTTCGCTTTTGGTCGTCATATTATTGTCAGAACTGACCACAAGCCACTTGAGTCGATCACAAAGAAACCTCTTGACAGGGCACCAAGGTGCCTGCAAGGGGATTCTCCTTAGAAGTCTGGCCTATGACATAGAAGTCCAATACGTTCCCGGCCGTACACAACACCTGGCGGACACGATGAGTAGATCGTACCTGCCTACCCAATGCCAAGACACCTACAGCGAGTTTGAATTGGTGAATGCCGTCCAGTTTCTTCCTATGTGACAAGAGAAATGAGAAAAGGTTCGGCTGGAAACCGAAAAAAGACAACAACCTGCAAGTACTTAAGGCAACTATTCTGCAAGGCTGGCCTCAGGATAAGTCCAAATTTCCTCCTCTGATGACCCCCTACTACAGTGGGAGAGACGAACTCAGTATCTATGAAGGACTAGTTTTCAGCGGAGAGCGGCTAGTTGTACCTCAAGGACTGAGGACTGATATAAAAAGAGAACTACATGCGTCAAATGCTGGTGTCGGAGCTTGTCTCAGGAGGGCAAGGGAGAGTGTCTACTGGACAAGTATGAACTCTGAACTTAGACACTGGATCTTAGCTTGTAAGCCCTCTTTGCAATTTCACATGGCAAAGACCCTCATGAGTCACGAAATAGGGCAGAGGCTTTGGGAGAAAATGGCTGTTGATCTCTTTACACTCGACCAGAAAGACTACCTAGTTACAATCGGACTACTATAGTGGCTATTGGGAGCTGGACAGACTTCAGAGCACAGAAGCAGTAGCTATAATCAAGAAACTAATAGCTCATTTTTCAAGGCATAGCAGTCCCTGCCATCTTGTAAGTGACAATGGTCCAATTCGTCCAATTCGTTGCGGCAGAATTTTAGAAACTCAGGGGCAAAAGGAATGGAAGAAATGGGTGGTCGTGGAAAGACTTGATGAGAGGTTCTTACAGGCGTAACAGGGTCCATTTAAAACGAACAAATGATCCGCCCCCAAAGCTGACCT